AATAATACCTTTGACCACAAATCATTATATGTTAGACATGAAAAAGAGCATCTTTAGGTAATAGAGGTAACTGTCAGAACAAGTGTTCCTTATGTTAGGTTAAGCAACGTGTATGTAGGTCCGGAGAAATTTCTCAGGACAGCTCTTTCTTTTAGAAGAAACAGGATGAAAGAATTAGGTGAATCGCTCACAATTCTCTTGGGTTGCTAATACATTACATGGGTTTAGAGCTTAAAGAGGTAGACTAAAGAGAGAGCTTACTGCTCAAATTCTAGTTAGAGCAGAAATCTCTTCCATACCATCGGACAAACACATGAAGAACAGGAGAACAAATAACATTTACTGAAACACAGACCGAGTATCTCTTATTCAGAGCACTTGAGATCAAAACTGTAGTGGATTTCAAATTTTCTTAAGATTTTGGAATACTGTTAAGTAACAGATAACATTAGCTGATTCATCGTCCTCTGCCTTCCCAGGAACAGGAGCAGGAGCAGGAAGCTGGGTGAGAAGCAGAGCAGCTGGGAGCTAAATTGGCCTGGCAAGCAGTGGCTAAGCCTGCGCACCACACTACCCACACACTGTGCCTGCATCTTAGCTATGATTCATCACATTGGGTCAAACACGAAACCTTCCTTACGCCATACCAGTCTTCATTTGAATTTTCGATTATGGAAATTCAATATGAATTTTTTAATTAAGAAAACTTGAGAAACAGAATTTAAGATTCCCATAATTCAGAAATTTGGAATTAATTTAAACAGTAAGAGAAATTCTATTCCTACTCCAAAATTAAAACTGTTCAGGTATGACAGCCCCAGGGCAAGATGGGGAGGTGGACGGGCAGTCATAAACACAGTCAGTACAGTTTCTCTCCTTAGGGAAGTGGAAGTGATGTATCACAAGACACAGTGGATGCCTGAGTCCAAAGACAGCACAGATAAATGCCACAGATACTATGTTTTTCCTATATGTACTTAGTTATTATAAAGCTTACTTTACAAATTAGGTACAGTACAAGATTAGCAATAATTAGTAATAAAACAATTATAACATGCAAAAAGTTACAGGAATGTAATCTCTCAAAGTGCTTTATTGTTCTATACTCACCCACTTTGTGATGGCATGACGTGATAGAATGCTTACGTGATGAGATGAAGTGAGGTGAATGACACAGGTAAGTGATGTGGTACTAGGCTACTGCACAGCAGCTACTAGAACATAAGCATCAGAGCAGAACAGCCAACTTGATAAACTAAGTGGTTATTTAAAAACTATAAACATGGAGGGGCTAGAAAAAGTATTCATGCTTTGAATGGGAAGGGTAGAAGACAACAGTACAAGTTGTTATCATGCCACTCTGAACAGTGCATGAGTTAAAATCTATAAATTGCTTCCCTTATAAATGAATTTCCCATTTCCCTTCCCCCATATCCAGACTACAGACCAGGAGCTGAGGGACTGCTGCACGAAATTAAAAACCAGACCTCTGAAACAAGAGGCCTGTGTCACTTCTCAGCATGTGGACTTGAGCAAATCATTTAAAGTCTGTTTTCTCACTTGCAAGAAATGGCGATATCACTGTTGACAAAGTTTGCACTATATAATCTTGTTTTTCATTTCATAGTTCTAAATGAAACCTACAATGCCCAGCTTTTTCTGCACAGAAATAATCCAAAAGGCCCCAGTCATAATGAACTGTTTCTAAGCTTGACATCCAGGAACCTCTCTTCATCCACCAGAGTAGCTGGAGGGAGGGAGGAGCTGCGCTGGAAGGTTTGGACACCCAGGGCATCCCTGGAGGACAGCTGCATCATCTCTTGGAGGATCCAGCTGGAGCGCTCCCAAGCCCTAACTTGCCAGTTTGCTGATTCCCGTCTGAGGAAACCAAGTGAGGTGAGAAAGCTGTGTTCATTCTAGAGGTCCTAACACACTCCAGTGCAGTTTCCCTCCTACCTGGTTTACAGGGTATAGACCCAAATGAGGCAACAAAAGGCTTTATGAAAATATAAAGGAAGTATGGATAGAACTACACCTCACTAAAAACACATAATTCAAAAAAAGTTAAAAATATATAATGCTATCAGTAATACTTTAGAAAAACTGAAAATCAGTTAACTGTTTCAAAGAGTATTGGCTTTTAAGAACCAGGTATACTTTATTTATTTCTTCAAGTTGCTGACTCCTTAGGGAAAGTAGCTTACTAATTCAGCATACCACAGTCAGGTGCCACTTCAAACTCTCCATTTCAAATGGACAAAGGTCAAAATGAAATGTGGACAAGTATTAACACCACAAAAGGCATAACTTTTAGTTAATGCATGAACACTCATTTACAATTTGTGCCTCTCCCCTCAGATTCTTTTATACATTTAGAAACCCTAAGGAATGCGCTCCCATTTCTCTTTGTTCCATCCAATTTCCATCAGATGGTTTGAGATGAAGTTTTCAATTCTGATGTTTTAGAGAGAGGCACTTGGTGCAGCAGTTAGGACCAGACTGGGACAGGTGCATTGCCATCAGAGCACGTGGGCTTGTGTCTTGGCTCCTGCTTCCTGCTAATGTATTCTCTGGAAAACAGCGGTAACGGTCAAGGACTTGAGTCCCTCATGTCTGTCTGAGAGAGCCACACTTAGTTCTGGATTCCGGCATTCAGCCTGGTTCAGCCAAAGCAACTGTGGTGTGCTGTTGAGGTATGAGCCACAAGATGGAAGACACCACCCAAACCCGGCCTGCTTTCCCTCCAACTTCTCTCTGCCTTTAAATACATAAAAACTTAAAATCGATATTTTGGCCCAAGCAAAAAAGAACTTCCAGATTTCTGTGACTATTTAAAAAGTATCCCATATCAAAGAAGTTGATGAAATGGTAATTAGGTCAAAAAGCATCAAAATCAATGATCAGGGCTGGTACCGTGGATAAAGCCAGCTCCTGAAATGCCAGCATGACCATGCTGGTTCCAGTGTGGATTCCATTGCCTACTTCCAGTCTAGCTCCCTGCTAACATGCCTGGGAATGCAGCAGGAGATGATTCAAGTTCTTGGGCATCTGCACCCACGGGTGCCTGTGGCTTTGGACCATCAGCCCAACCGATCTCTTCCAGTGAATGGAAGACCATTCTTTCTTTGATTTTCCCTCCTTCTAACTTTGCCTTACAAATAAATAAAACTTTTTAAAAGAATCAATGATCTTACTCGACTGAGTTGGGGAACATCACTCAGCAAGTTGACTTTCATGATCTCAAAAGGACTAATGCTAACTAAAAGGATGATGATCTTAAAAACACAAGACACAACAAAACTGAGGACAGCATAAAATCTTGATTTCCATGGCAACTGACTGAGCATCAAATACAGCTTTGATTAATACAAAGGCTAATCTGTTTACTCCATCAAGATCACAAAGAAAATGAAATCATGTTTAAAGGCCGAACGCTTCCTCAAATTCTGCATGTCAATTTCAATATAAGACAGTACTTCAATATTACAGATAATCAGGCTTTAGATTTCTAAAGCGTTAGTTTTTATTGGTGTATACAAATTTTACAGATATATATGGAAACTAAAATATGGGAGAACACTTAAAATGCACACAGAATAAAACTGGAGGAAGATGGTCAAGACTTTGATAGCCTAAATGGGTGCTGAAGCCTCACTGGATCCCAAGCATAAGAACTAGAAATGTGACGGCCTCAGCAGGAAAAAAAATCGATTTTAATGAATGCTACATAGTTTATTTAATAAGATTACATTTACATATAATTAACAATAACCTGCCCCACTGATGTTTACCCTTTCACAATCTATGGAAAACAGTTTTGCTAAGCAAAATAGGTAAACAAGATTGCACAGGGCATATTAAGGCTACACAGTAAAACGTGGTCACAGATGACTGATTCTCACTTACAAATCAGTCTGACAGAGGCTTTCAACCTTATTAGAACTTTGGCCATTATTTATTTTGCTGATAAAATACACATTTATAAACAGCTATTTTTCTTACATTCATTTTACAGACGTGAATGTTTCAGAGTTCCATAAGGATTTTAAGTCTAAGCAACACATTTCTATACTTGAAAACCAATATGGAGGACACATGAAGAGTATAAATAAATGTTAAAAACAATAAATTCTAAGAAGGAGATTTAGCTTTGTAGATACACTGACCCTAAAGGCTTTTTTGTCTCACAGTATCACAAATCATTAGTGAGAGAGCTATCCATTACTTCCTGCCTTTAAAAGATATGAACCGAAGAAACTGGACAAAGACGAACAGAAGCCGGCTATTCACAGCAGATGAATAACTGACATAAATAATTGTACTAATTTTGTCACTTACCTTTCATAATTACACGAGATTCTGCTGTGTATTTTGTGTGCATGTATTTCTGGCTTTCATCTCACTACATCAACTATACTAAATTCATGTCCTTGGACTTGATTATCGTATGTATTTCAGCGAGGTAACTTCGGTCCTTTGTGGAACGAGTGGGAATAGTACCGAGTTTTCAGCAGACACAAAATCCCACAGCAAAAGTGCACCCTCCGCTTCTTACACGGTTTAAAATTCATTATGGCAAAACAAAGAACCCTTAACTGTCATTAAGACTCTGAGTAGAGTTATCAACAGGACATATGAGTGGAGTCATTTTATCAACAATGATGAAAATCATTCGCAATTTATTTCTCACCCCTTGTTGACAAGCTACTATAGGGTAACTGGAAGATGCAGGGCATTCCTGGTGGACAGACGCTGCTGGTAGGACACAGCACAGGGAGGGAGGGGCAAAGGGGACTTCTTCCTTGTCCTAATGGCTTTGCTTGGGCCAAACAGGTAAAACACTAATATCCCATATAACAGAAATAAGACAGCCAAATCTTTTTTCCTTTGTCATACTTTTTACAAATAGGAATCATTTTAACTTAACTTCTAAGAAGTTAACCAGCCTGGTAAACTGTGGATTGAAAGTGCCAGCCACAATCACCCTATCCTTGCCTTACCTGCCATTACAGAGTAGCCACCGAGCAAGAGAATAGTGAGGTATAATCTTCTGCAAGACACTGGCCATCACCATGGTAACGACCAGCTGTATACCTATCACTCCCTGTGTAAAAAAACAGACAGACAAGTTTAACAACAAATGAGCTTGGATTTTGGAACATTGCAGGAAAACTTTCTGTACATTTTGAAAATCACATCTTGAGAAAAAAAAAGTTTATTATTAAAATAGATCACCACTCTGGTATTTAGGATTTTCAGAATCACATATTTTAGTTTAAAATACAGTACATGATCTCATAATCCTCAACAAGTTACCCAAGATAAATAAAAGTTCAATGAATTACCAACATATATTCAAAATGGATCTGCAATAAACAGTCTACATAAATTGAGGAGCTCCAAAGGAAGCCAAAGAGCAGTGATTTCTTCCTTCTATTTCAGCACATGTAAGACACCAGCACTGCAAGCTGTAAAGGAGGACGCCTTAGCTTAAATTCTAGGATAACAATGAATGATGAAAGAGCACTAACTATAAAGAACTGGCCTCAAAGCCATTAGCAAAGAAACTGAAGCACTGGGCTGTCACCAGCAGCTTCCTGTGGCTGTGTCACATCAGCCAATGCCTCCCTGATTCTTCAAACACTGCTCTTCACACACTCTGTCTCTCTACCTGGCACTGCACTCAGACACAGCAAGTTCACAAAGTCACTAGTGTCTGTCCTGTGGTACACCCAACAGCAACGGCAGCGCATTTTGTATGCAAAGAAAGTTTCTGTATTTGTGCTTCGCGAAACCACTCTTCAGTTTTCAGGGAACAAGAGGTAGTAGCTGTAAAGGGCTGGGTTCCTGTCACCCACGGGAGACAAGTGGATTGAGTTTCCACCTCCCAGGGATGCTTGCCCATTCCACGTATCTACCTACCTGTCAACCTAGTTACCTCTCAGATTAAACAAATACAATTTTCACAGAGTAAGTGCGTGGTGCACACCAACTGAAGACACAATTTGTGACATCCACATCCCAGGATGGAATGCCTTAGTCCGGGTCCCATCTGCCTCCAGGTCCAGCTTTCACCAACTAGCACCCTGAGAGGCAGCAGGTCATTTATTACTCAAGCACCTGAAGTTCCTGACCCTCACCTGGGCCCAGTCTCAGCTGGCACAGGAAGTCGGTGAGTGAATCAGTGCATAAGAGATTCATCTCTACACCTTTCAACTCAATCAATCAATCAATCAAAATTGGACATTTATAGAAAATGGAATTAAAGTTTACTTGGGTTCCCAAAATAAAACACTACTTCTTCCCACAGTATGCAGTTTTATATGAAGTTTATGAAGTTTTTTGTTATTAACATTTTTATGAAAAATGGTAATTTTATTATAAAGCGAAGGTTACAAAAAGCCATCCAAAAACTGCATTCTCATAAGTGACAAGACATTTAAAAAAAGTTGACAACAATCAAATTTCTGCTGAAATAAACAATACAAAACAACCCTAAGACTATCTGGAGTTAGTATTTGAAACTCATACCACAAAGGGATACTTATTATAGGTTATCTGGAATGCCTAGAAATTGATTAATGAGAATCCAACTATCAAATTAAAAAAACAAGTACACATATTTCTCTAAAAATATATAAAATGGTTCCTAAGCAAAACTTTTTAAAATGTTTACCAAATTTTTGTCAACTAAGTTATTTATGAATATTTTAATGCCTTAAATTCTACCAACTAGATTAAGTTCAGATTATTGCCATATACACCTAACACCAATGTTAACATTTTTACTGTTTTCTTTCCTATTTCTGATCTTTTGAATTTACAGTCCTATTTTCTGCATAGTTTCAGAGACAGAATCTGCAATCTCCAGTCAATGAATGCCATTACAAACAACTCTTTCTTTGGCAGAACACGGCCAAGAAATTTATTAACAACTTTGTCAGAAGGTTGGTGTATTTTGGAGTATGGATTTCAAGGCAAAAGACCATTTTTAGATGGGAAAGTTTTGTGGGCAAGTGAACTTCAACCTAGCCTTTAAAGCAGTGATGGCATCTAGAATTTTCAAGTTATTTTGTACAATCTTTCACAAACATGTATTATATAACCATGCATTACAGTGTATGCATGATTTTTTCCTTCATGATAGCAGAAATTGTTTCTTAGTCACAGCTAATAAATTTCACAGCTATTATGTGGTATTTTAGAAAGACTGATCTGGAAGAAATACATGATTTAATGTGGGTAGCCAAGAAGGGGGAAACCTTGTCCAATTCCCTCCCTCCATATCACTAACATGATGACATAACCACTGCTGGGTCCATTATTATAGATGTAAATCACATCAAAATAAAAACAAAAAACAAAAAAAAATGTGAGTTGTCAGTAACAATCAGGAAATCACAAGAGTTCTGCAATAACCCAGACTGCAAATGAAGCTTAAGTTACAGTGGTAATTTCAGTGCCCAGAGGAGAAATGTGTTCTAGAAATATTGTTGAAGAACTTACAGCAGATTGACCAAATATGGAGACAAAGGAGTTAATGAAATCCCGAAAAAAGCAAATACAGTACGAGTTAGCACACATTCTTTGTGCTGTAGTTAACATTTGAATGTTCACTCTTCGATTCAGGGGCTGGCATTAGGGTACAGAGGACCGTGTGCCACTTGCATCTCTGGCATCGCATGTCAGTGCTGGTTCAAGTCCTGGTTGCTCACTTCCAACCCAGCTCTGCTAATGAAACTAAGAAAGCAGTGGAGATGGCCCACGTGCTTGCACCCCTGCCATACTTGTGGGAGACCCAGAGGAAGCTCTGGGCTCCGAGCACTGAAGACCGATCTCTCCCTCTCCCTCTCTCTATGCAGATTCTGCATTTCAAATAAACAATAGTTCATAAAAATAAATTCAATGTAAAATTTGTAACCCTGCTCTATTCCTTTATCCTATCACCTCTTTATGCTTAATATGTACTCAAAGCAAATGTCATCTGTCTGATTTTTAAGAGATAATTACAAATTATGAGGAAAATATTTTACCACAGTTCTTCCTTTTTACATATTTAGAAAAGACTCCTTGGAATATATGTTCAAAATGGTAATCACTTTAGAGAATTACATATTATCATTTTGATACATACTAAACTTATCTTTTAAGCCATCAATATGAAATTCACAATTAATTTACATCAGAGATTTTCATATGAAAATAGAAATTATTTCCTTCATTAACTAAGACAACCATTTAAACTCACCAACCTGGCATACTTGAATGTCTATTTTTATGCAAAAGTAGCACTTCTGAAATCTCTGGAAATTTAAATTTCCTGAATGCTTTTCATTATTTTTAATTAAAGAGGAATACTGAAGTAAATTTGGCCATAAACTTAAGCACGGATTTCACAACAGAAAGCTGCTAGAACTGGACAGAGATGCAGCGAAGCTGAAAGTCCATCACAGCTGAAGTCTCAAAGCACACAACCAGATGGGTCATTGGCTCAAGTAGCCTTAATGGTTTTATTAACGCTTCGAAACAATAACTTGGCCAAAGAGATGGTTTCTGTCTGGATTCATTGCCCCTGGGCCTTGATTCTCCCGATAACTGAAGCTGCAGAAAAGTCATTTATGAAATAGCTCATAAGCACCCAAGAAGGGTGAAATACTGGGTTAACTTAGGTTTCAACCTTTCCACATCTATTAACCTGAGGCCATGAAGAGCAAGAAGTTATTTGCCTTTAGTCTCTAGAAGAATGATCATTTCAATTTTTGTCAGTAACAGTTTCCGAGTAGGCTTTAAAAAATATTAAGAAAAACTAAACATTTCTCTAAGAAATAAAATATACCAAATAGCGAGGTTTCATTTTGCTTGGCAATACCAAAAATTTCAAATAAAAAATACAAATATACTACAGCTCTAAAATTTGACTTTTGAATATGTATCAGTAGAGTCGGTATCGTCTTATATCCCATTAAACCAGCTTGCCTGCTAATTAACACACACTACCTACCATTAGAAAGTATAATATTTGTATATAAATTTGGAATTCAAACCACAGTAAAGGGTTTCAATGACCAAATTCCTAAGTAAATTAAAAGGGAAGCAAGCAAAGATTATTATCCAATGATCCTACTATTTTTTGACTGTTTACATGCTTTAATGTTAGCAGCCATGTTGAAGCAGACTTTTTTAGATTCGCTCAAAAATTTTTACTTCAAGAAGTTATCGGTTTTGTTGCTTCAACTCAGGTCCACATAACACTTCAGAATCACACTTCAAGCATTTAAATAAACCATCTCTACGTGCTTTACAAATGAGCAAAGCAGGCTCCAACCAACCCAAATCACACTACCCAAAGACTTACACGAAATCCAAGTTAAAAAGAAAGGCATAAGAAATGACTAACATATACACTGAACTCCATGGGACAGCTAAAGCCCAGTTCAACGGAGGGCCAGTCCAGCAAATAGCACTGAGTGCGAAGTAAAATAAAGACCAAAGTTTAGATCACTGACAATCTTCAAAAGAGGAAGTATTTAGTCGAAGTGTTTAGCAAAAAGCTCACTTTGGCAGGGGTGGAGGACAAAATTATGAAGCAACAGAAAGAAATTATATCCATATAATTCTTTAAGACAAAATTTAAGGATAAGATTGAAAGTAGGAGGAAAGAACAAAGATAAAGGCTACATGAGAAGAAAACCAATCAAGTGTTGAGTGTGACTTCACCTGACAGCTAACAGCTGCAGAATAAAACCGAGAGCTGTCTCAAAAAGTGACTTGGTTTGGGTGTCTGGCAGACTAGAGTTGGTAACAGTGAAGCAGACGGAAAGAAATTCAAATAAGGAGTATTCATCTGTTTAGCTCCACTTGCACTCCCAGGGAAGTATCTAGGATGGGAGGTTTTCAACATCAATTTAAAAAATACCTCTGAATAAGTTAAAAAAAAAAATAAAGCACACAAATGCCAGCGATTCTTTACCTCATTCAAATGACTATGAGCTGAGTATGCCTCAAATAGGTAAGGTATCTAAAGGATGGAAACCTGTCTGCTTCCCCAGCTTTTCAGAATACACCAAAAACACGCTTTTGTTGATATTGTCAGGAGGCTCAATC